TACTGCTCAAGGAGCTGCCACTGCTTGAGGAACTGCTACTGCTTGACGAACTACTGTTTGAGGAGCTGCTGCTGCTTGACAAACTACTACTGCTTGAGGAGCTGCTACTGCTTGAGGAACTACTCCTGCTTGAGGAACTACTGCTTGAGGAACCTAAAAGAATATAATTGTCACATTTTGCTCTTATAAGACTCATTGGCAGACCGTGGTGATTTAGACAGAAATTGTAACAAATGCTTACATTTCATTTTACTATATTTTTTGAAAACGAAATTGCGTTGTATGTTTTCTAGTTCCCATATTAGGTTATTACATATATTGAATCATGAGGATTTGGTAAATGTATACTGTATGTATATATTGTGTATAAGTTTTATGTCTATATTTCAACGATTACTCAAAGTGTATGTGTACAATGTATTATAATTTGATGTCGTAAAATTGACTCATTAAGGAAAAAATAAATAAATAAAAGGAAAGATACTGAAAGTTCAATTGTGATAGATTATGCACATATAAAAGATTTCTGAAAATAGAATATTGAGGATTACTTGAAATTCACGCCGTTTGTTTATAAGAGTGATATTGCATATGGATGTCAGTGCGTCCAAGACCAAATGTCCGACAAAACGTTTCTTAAATATTTTGTCAATTAAAACCTTCACCTAGAAGATGAGCACCGATATCTTCACTTTATTAAACTCTATATCGTGATTATAATGCAATAGAATAAAAATATCGATGTTTATGCCCGAGATGACGGATTAAATCAACAAAATATGAAATAGAAGCGATTTGGCCGTGGACTCCTTGTGGTCGTCACTGGAGTAAAAAAAATATTGTTGTGCGCCATTTTATAACCTCTAAAATGTCTCAGATATTTTTTTTTTCTTTCTTTCTTTCAAGGCACCGAATTAACCAAGCATACGCAATTCGATGGATATAGTGATCTAAAGTGATGGTGCATTTTATCGTGCATGTGGTGTCATGACTATGCTGCAGTTGCGGGTTAGTGAGTCAGCATATAGTAATCTTAGCTGAACCTGTGTGCTGTTATTGCAAATGTGTGATATAATTCCATATTGCCTTATAATTTGCATATCGTGTGCTAATATTGCATATAGTGTGATATTATTGCATTTTGTGTTATAATCTGCTTATCGTGTGATATTATTGCATTTTGTGTTATGATTTGCATATCCTGTGATATTGATGCATATTGTGTGATATTCATACATATAAGAATCTTATGCCACAGTGCAATTCTGTGAGATTTAAATGATGTCCTTTAGCGTGCTCCGGCGTGGTCTAATGAAGAACAGGGTCTTACAACTACTGCTGCTTGAAGAACTACTGCTACTGCTTACTTAACTGCTCCTGCTACTGCTGATATACTACTGCTCGAGGAGCTGCTACTGCTCGAGGAATTGACGAGCTGCTACTGCTCGAAGAGCTGCTACTGCTAACTGCTACTGCTTGCACTACTCGAGGAGCTGCTTGTGATTATTTGCTACTGCTCGAGGAGCTGCTACTGCTTGAACTACTGCTTTATACTGCTTACTGCTGCTCGAGGAGCTGCTCTGCTACTGATATTGATGCACTGCTACTGCTTGAGGGCTGCTTGAATACTGCTTGAGGAACTGCTACTACTGCTATAAAGGAGCTGCTACTGCTGCTCGAGGAGCTGCTACTGCTGCTCGAGGAGCTGCTACTGCTGCTCGAGGAGCTGCTAACTGCTGCTCGAGGACTACTGCTGCTCTGCTACTGCTGCTCGAGGAGCTGCTACTGCTGCTCGAGGAGCTGCTACTGCTGCTCGAGGAGCTGCTACTGCTGCTCGAGGAGCTGCTACTGCTGCTCGAGGAGCTGCTACTGCTTGAGGAGCTGCTACTGCTGCTCGAGGAGCTGCTACTGCTCGAGGATGCTACTGCTGCTCGAGGAGCTGCTGCTTGCTTGCTGCCTGCTCGAGGAGCTGCTACTGCTGCTCGAGAGCTGCTACTGCTGCTACTGCTGCTGCTACTGCTGCGAGGCTGCTACTGCTCGAGGAGCTGCTACTGCTTGAGGAACTGCTACTGCTTGAGCTGCTACTGCTTGAGGAACTGCTACTGCTTGAGCTGCTACTGCTACTGCTTGACTGCTACTGCTGTTGAAGTGCTACTTGAGGAACTGCTACTGCTGCTAGCTGACTGCTCGAGGAGCTGCTACTGCTGCTCTGCTACGCTGCTCGAGGAGCTGCTACTGCTGCTCGAGGAGCTGCTTTGCTGCTCGAGGAGCTGCTACTGCTGCTGAGGAGCTGCTACTGCTGCTCGAGGAGCTGCTGCTACTGCTGCTCGAGGAGCTGCTACTGCTGCTCGAGGAGCTGCTACTGCTGCTCGAGGAGCTGCTACTGCTGCTCGAGGAGCTGCTACTGCTGCTCGAGGAGCTGCTGCTGCTACTGCTGCTCGAGGAGCTGCTACTGCTGCTCGAGGAGCTGCTACTGCTGCTCGAGGAGCTGCTACTGCTGCTCGAGGAGCTGCTACTGCTGCTCGAGGAGCTGCTACTGCTGCTCGGAGCTGCTACTGCTGCTCGAGGAGCTGCTACTGCTGCTGCTACTGCGCTGCTACTGCTAGCTGCTGCTGAGGAACTGCTACTGCTGAGCTGCTACTGCTTGAGGAACTGCTACTGCTCTGCTAGGAGCTGCTGCTTGAGCTGCTACTGCTCGAGGAACTGCTACTGCTGCTCGAGGAGCTGCTACTGCTGCTCGAGGAGCTGCTACTGCTGCTCGAGGAGCTGCTACTGCTGCTCGAGGAGCTGCTACTGCTGCTTCGAGGAGCTGCTACTGCTGCTGCTGCTACTGCTGCTCGAGGAGCTGCTACTGCTGCTCGAGGACTGCTACTGCTGCTTGAGCTGCTAACTGCTGCTGCTGCTGCTGCTACTGCTGCTCGAGGCTAGCTTGCTACTGCTGCTCGAGGAGCTGCTACTGCTGCTCGAGGAGCTGCTACTGCTGCTCGAGGAGCTGCTACTGCTGCTCGAGGAGCTGCTACTGCTGCTCGAGCTGCTACTGCTGCTCGAGGAGCTGCTGCTGCTCGAGGAGCTGAGCTGCTGCTGCTACTGCTGCTCGAGGAGCTGCTACTGCTGCTCGAGGAGCTGCTACTTGCTGCTCGAGGAGCTGCTGCTCGAGGAGCTGCTACTGCTGCTGCTACTGCTGCTGCTTACTGCTGCTCTGCTAGCTGCTCGAGGAGCTGCTACTGCTGCTCGAGGAGCTGCTACTGCTCGAGGAACTACTGCATGAGGAGCTGCTGCTGCTTGAGCTGCAACTGCTCGAGGAACTGCTACTGCTTGACGAACTACTACTACTTGAGGAGCTGCTACTGCTCGAGGAACTACTACTTGAGGAGCTGCTACTGCTCGAGGAGCTGCTACTGCTCGAAGAACTGCTGCTGCTTGAGGAACTACTACTGCTTGAGGAACTACTACTTGAGGAGCTGCTACTGCTCGAGGAACTGCTGCTGCTTGAGGAGCTGCTACTGCTCGAGGAACTGCTACTGCTTGAGGAACTGCTACTACTTGAGGAGCTGCTGCTGCTTGAGGAACTACTGCTACTGCTCGAGCTGCTGCTGCTTGAGGAACTACTGCTACTACTCGAGCTGCTGCTGCTTGAAGAGCTGCTACTGCTTGAGGAACTACTACTGCTTGAGGAACTACTACTGCTTGAGGACTGCTCGAGGAGCTGCTACTGCTTGAGGAGGAGCTGCTACTGCTTGAGGAACCTAAAATGATTGTCACATGTCTCTTTCAGTAAGCTACATAGTTTGACTATATGCTATCGTGTGATATGTTTCATATACTTAACCCTAGTAAGATATATCATAGAAACAATGATGGTAATTATTAAAGACAATAGTGACAATGTGTGTGTGTGTGTGTGTGTGTGTGTGTGAAGTGCATTCCTGGTGCTCCGACGTATGTTATCTTTGTGCATTATCTAATACTTATTTTTAAAATAACTATTTTCCTCTTACTACTACTGCTACTTGAAGAGCTACTGCTGCTGCTGCTTGAAGAACTGCTACTACTTGAGGAGCTACTACTACTTGAGGAACTGCTACTGCTTGAACTCGACGAACCTAAAATAATTGGCATTTTTCTCTTTCAGTGAGACGACACATTATGACTAAAGAAGATAATAACGAAAATAATTTATATGGGGACAGGCTCCTGTGACTTAGATCAAAAAATGCCCCTCTGTTTCTTGTGCTTCTAGTAGGGAAAAGTACGGGTTACCGTCACAAAAACTGACAGTGCGGGATTTGAACTCGGGGCAGCGCTATCAGTCTTTCGGAGAGGTGCAACTGTGCTCATTTGTCAGATGTCCAGAGGTGACCTTGTTTTGCTCGGTGCGGGTGCCATGCCAAGTTCCTCGTTGGCAGTCTTAGTTATATTTGATTCCACGTGGATCTGGTGAGGTGCTTCACTTTAAATCAAGGTGCGATGTCCACATATATTTCTATAGCAGACATGGGGGCCTTCCTTTCTGCTACTCATCATAAGGGTGCCACAAATGTGCTAAGGTTTAAAGTAATGAAATACAATAAACCCAACATAGTAGAAGTTTGCCGATATAAAGGATACGGGGGCGTGGCGTGCATGTGCATTTTTGTCTTTGTATTGTGCATATATACACATATATCTATGAATATGTGTACAGTGTATGTATGTATTTGCAGATATACTTATAACCATATAATGGTATGTCTGGAAGATATGCAGGTAATGATGAATGGTTTTCATGCCCTACATAGGTGTTAGAAATAGAACTCCATTGAAATTTTGAAATTTTGACCAAATATCTCTTGCTGTAGTTCACAATAAATAGTAAAATAGGTGGGAAAAAAAGTATTTGAAGGCAGAAGACAGACAACCTGGCACATGGGACACACAACAACTCCCATCACCAAAGGTTGTATGTCGCTGTTGCCCTAAACCACTGCAGATTCTATGTTGAGAAAATGAAGAGTACTTAC